GCTCATCTGCCCCTGTATGTATGGGAGGGGTACGAGTAGATGGGGTAATTGTTCACAGCTGTTAGGACCCATTTGCACGAGACTTGTGAGAGATCAGAACTGATGACCTGATTTGCAGCGCGTGTGAAGCAGCAACCCGCAAAGTGGCTGGAGCCTGCGTGTACCTTTGTTTCCCTAAGGCAGTGGCAGATGCGGTTCCCGCAGCCTGCCCCGGCTGAAGCTTTCTGCCCTTTATGGGAGCTCTTGTGCGGCGCGTGTAAAGCAGCAACCCGCAAAGTGGCTGGAGCCTGCGTGTACCTTTGTTTCCCTAAGGCAGTGGCAGATGCGGTTCCCGCAGCCTGCCCCGGCTGAAGCTTTCTGCCCTTTATGGGAGCTCTGTGTCCGGAGCACTGACACGCTCGCTGCAGCAGGGTGCGAGTGTTCAGGGGGCGACGGTCACGCAGTGTTGTCAGGATCACGCGAAGTCTTATTTCCTCACCTCAGAAGCAGTGGGAAGGAGGAATTTGAACACGCGTATTTTTCCTTTAAGGCGACGCCGGCTCTCGCCCTCCTTTCGCCTTGATCGGGGCCGGAGGTTCGCTGGAAGGCGGCGAGCGCGTCCGTCGGGAGAGGGAATCGAAGCGCCGCGCCTGTCAGGTGCGAGGCAGATTGCACCGTCTAATCCCCCGGCTGTCGTCCGCGGCGTTTGTCAAGGCCTCCACTGGCCTGCTCCGTTTCATCAGAGGTATCGCTAGCGTTCATCTAGGCTGGCAGCGTTTCAGCAGCTGCTAATCCTCTTTGTATCTTTAAGCGCTGTGACCGCTGACAAGCTTCTATACTCTGAGGTGTCAAAATATCTCAAGATAGCTGTGGTGACTTTTTTTTTTTTTTTTAAATCCGAACACCTTCTGATCTATTGACCCAGTCTTAACCTGAAGGAGAAGTCTACGTTCCCGTGTCAGCTTTTTGCTGCTGCTGCTGCTTGATGTTTGCAAAGAATTTGGCCAAAAAATTTGTTTAATTTCTGGCTCCTCTTGCTCATGTTGCTCAGTTGTCTGTTTTACGTGTTACTGCAAGTAGCACGCGTGTCACTGAAGTTGTAAGGAATGTGGTTTAATGTCAACGTGAGAATGAGCTGGCAGGGTTTTCTCTTTGGGCTTCAGTTACTTTCCCTCCTGAAACAGCCTTGAGAACTCCTTTCTTTGCTGTATTATTTTCTTACTTTCTTTGCCGCAAAAGGACCTGGGCAGCGTAGAGAGTTACAGTGACGAGTATTGGAGCTTCCACGGGTGGTTGCAGCAAAGGGGAAATGCTGAATTAAAATCACCCCAAATTCTGCTTGAAGTTGTAGAATTGGTTTGCTTTGGAAGGAGAATTTTCAGTCCTAGGGTTTTTTGGGAAGAGTGGGGAGCGCGGGTTTAGCAGCAAACACGCTGTAGGAACAGCAGGGTAAGGGGAAGCGGTTCTGTTGGTCTTTTGGCTTTAGTTATGTGTTTTTATAACTTCTTGGTGTTTTTATTATTTGCTACGAACCATCATTTAATAGCAGGGGAAAATCCTTCAAATGAACGTTTCTTTGTTTAGTTGTTGTCCTCTCTGGAGCGCGCTGTCCCCATATGACAAACCTCTGATGTTCTGAAGTTGGCTCCCCTGAGGCTCAGCTTTATTGAGAGAAGTGAAAAATTTTGGGTGGTTCATTCATTCTTTCTTTGTCTCTCGTTATTTGAGTCCTTATGGTGTCCTTTCGTCATGTTTTTAAACTTATTTCTGCAACTAAGATTGCCAGGAGCTTTATTTAATAGTAGTTGAGGTCTCATGTTGCACTTTTTCCTTTGTGAGCTGCCATTTTATCTCAAGCGTCAAATATTGTGAGAGTAAATTAAAAACAACATCGACATGTTGTAATTTTTATGTTGAATGTTCTTTGTTTTACTGTGCGGCTGAATATCGCAGTATAAAGTTAAGGTACTTTACCAAGATTTTCACAGAATCACAGAATCGTTTAGGTTGGATGGGACCTCTGGAGATCATCTAGTTTTGGGCAGCTCAGTCTTTGTTTCAAAGGCAAATGCCACATCTTGATGCAGCTGAACAGCCTCTAGGTTGGGTGGCCCTACTGAAGTCCCTGGAAGGGCACATGTGGTTTTTCCGCTTGGTTCATCACTTACAACGTTATGATAAAGTCCTGGATTTTTGTAGGCCATTGGAATATTCTGCGCTGCCACAGTGTGAGAGGGTAAAATATTGAAATGAAGCAGGTCTGCAGCTAGAGTTGTACAGAGGAGGACACTTGGAAATTTGTTCTCCCTAAGTAAAAGCCCCAAATCACAGAACTTGCCATGAGTGCCCTCGCACCGAAAGGCCCTTGTCTGCTACTCGTTTAGCTCTTGTTTAGGACAAAGGCAAATGCCGCTTTCCCAAGGTAGGAAGAGGCCCAGAGGCCAAAGAAAACCTGTTTTACAAGCCTGCTTGTTGAGCGCGCTCAGGTTTAAATGGTAAAACTCTGTTTTTCTTCCTTGAAGAAGCCTTTAAAACACTCATTCATAGCATTGGAAATACTGCTTCATTGGTGTTTTAAGTTTTTTATTTTGAAGGGGTGAAGAGTGAGAAAGATAGGCTTGATCCAAAGGCAAGAGAGACAGTTGGATCGCGTGCAAAGACATTTCCTTTCTGTTTTTAAAACTGAGCAATTTTAATCCTTAGGGTGAACATCATCTCTGTCCCTCCTTGATCTTAGCTTTCCGCTAGGTACCTTGCGGTTTCTTTGAGGCTTCATTCCCTCCCCCTTTCCCTCTCCCTCACTGAGATTTCTGCCTCTCCATGCAGGTTCTCACTTGCCCACTTTTCATGCTTTTCATCCACTTTAGGATCCAAAGCAGCTTCATACTGGTTCCTTTCCTTGCCGTTTCTGTCCGGGTTTGTAGTTGATGTTGAAGCTGGGGCTGTCCATGGTATTGGGTGGTTGAACTGTCTCTAATAAACTAGACAAAGTCCTACTACAACCCATTTAATCGACAGTGAAACCAGCGAATGAATCTATTGGCTTATTTTTTTTCTTTCTTTAGGGGGGGTTAAATGCCAACCTCATGCTGGGTCTCACGTACAACATATTTGTTCCTGTTTTCTTCTCCTGCTGCTGTTTCACTGCAGAGTGCTGCAGGCTAATAGTATCTGACGGGGCTACTTCCTATTGCCTGAAAAATGTTTAATTTTACTACCTTGCTTTCTCTCTTTCCCGCTTTCTCTCATTTTGATCTCTCAAATCCTGTCCCTCTGAGAAATCAGACAGTATGAAATATGAAAATTGCTTGAGAAGTAATTGGAGAAACGGTGAGACTTATGAAACCCACGGAGATAACGCTTACACCTACTTATTCACATTATTTAATTTTTAATGGCAAATTTAATTAATGGAGCACAGGTCTTGTGGTTTCATGTGTGAATAAGTAACAGCAGGGAGCTGCAAGTCATGAGGTCTGTTTACAGGGCAGAGAAAAAGGCTCCATTAAAAGCTGAGCTTTTCATTAGAGGAAGGAATAAAATGGGTTTAATAGCATAGAAGTTTGACCGTTATGTAACAAGTAAGTAAATGAAAAAGTTAATGGCGATTTGTTGGTAAAATGCGTTTTGAAGTGGTTACTCGTTCGTGCTTTGTCAGTTTAAGTCTGTCTCTTAGGTCAAAGTTTGGAAAAGCAAAGTCTCTTTTGTGGCTTTCTTGGTATGCGACATAAATTCAGGCCCCAGAGATAAAACGCTTAAATATAGCACCTTGAAGTCTAGGCTTTGAAGACCTTAATAAACCTCCCAATTAGCTAAGCTTCACGCAACTTCTGTGATACGGACAGCTGTTATCCCCAGCTTGCAGATGGAAAGTGGTGACTTGCCCGGGATTGCACAAGTGGCAGAACCACTAATAGAACTTGAGTTATATCTGTTGTTTCCTTTCTTCCAACCACTGAACAATATGTGTAGTCTCATCATGTGCAGGACCACAGCTGCATTCATGGGAAAATAAATGAAGAAAGGCAAGAATGGTATTCTATATAAAATGACCAAGTCTGGAGAGAGACGAGATAGCAGCTAGAACGGGTCCTAAATGAATAGCTGTGCTCACTTTTGATTTTGTCGCTTTTTTATGATGGATTATTGCATATTTTTTGCAGGTGCTTTTTCAGACTAAGGGCCTTGCAGATGAGTTTTGAATGAGGCAATGCAGCTTTTTTAATATGAAGTCCAGAGGCTTTGCTTAAATCAGCTTTTTCAGCAGTTAGTGAGGCAGGCCGTTGCAACGCTCAGGGTGTGCGGCGGCTCCCTTGCGCTGCTCGTGCTTGGGAGGGCTACAGGTTCGGCAGGGGAGGGGAATTCACCCTCCGTAGGCAGGGGGGTGAGCAGTTGTGAACTAACCCTCTTTCTGTGTGAGCTCAGGAGAATTTAACGCAAACCTCTTTAGCCCTGAAGCAAGACCCTCCGGACTCCGTTTGGCAGTGCCTTAACTGGTATCTGATGTGCCTCCCTATGTTGTTAAGAGGGGAAACGTGCTGCATGATTTTATTTTAAAGAATAAGTAACGTAAGTAGAAGCACTGAGATGTAAAATGAATTTTCCAGTGCTAGCAGCCAGTTTTGATACTCGTGCTCCAGGAACTTACGAGATTCTTCACAGCAATTAAAATAAAACCGCAAAAAACAAACAAAAAAGCCCTTCAAAACAACTCATTGCTGGAAGCACCTTGTTTTTGCGGTTACATGGAAAAAATCAAAATGATCAAAACTGCTCATTGGCTGTGTTCTCCCCGCTTTCTCTTTGCAAAGGTGAAGCGTGTAACGGAGGACGCGCTGTGGCCTTGATGCAGTCTATTAAAAAGTAAATAAATTTTTAGCATTCTTTTGTGTTCTCTGAACTGAGTATGCTGTTTGTTGTTGGAAACCATTACTGATTGTAGACGATAGCTGCGCGACGGGGTGAGCGAGGCGCGTGCTGCCTTTGGCCGTTAGAGCTGAGCGCTGTGCTCTTCCTTTCAGAACGCGGAGATCTACAAGCTGACGTCGGAGCAGTACCACGAGGCAGCCGCCAAGGCGGAGAAGTGGATAAAGTGAGAAGCCTTTTTTTGTTCTTTTCGACCGTTCTGGTTGTGCTTTATAACGCTCTGTGTATAGCCTCTGCACGTTCCCTCAACTGGAGTGTGACGTTACCTCGTGCCAGGTATTCGGGGGACCGAGCAGCAGTAAACTAGCATTTTCTCTTTCTGTGCCGAGCTTGACAGAATTTAGGATAAAGTTGTTAGCTTTTGCAAGAGGAAACAAGAGAAGACGTGGACTAGAAAATCCAAATCAAATGCAAATGTTTTCCAAGATTTTCAAAATGGCAGGGGAACAAGTTTAATTTCCTCAAACTATGACCCAGTATATTTGGCCTACGCGTTGCAGCATTGGCCTAGCACATCAGAGTACGAAAAAGTCACTTTTAAAGTTTTCTTGACCAGGGAAGAAAAAGGTAAATAGCATAAGTCTTTACCCTGTAAATTTCAATCAAAATAAAGTTGTAATTATAATGAATGTTTTCCTAGGATGGGTGAAATGATTTTTCTGACCTTTTTATTCATCTTGACGTAATTAGAGGACCTTCAGTGTTGTGCTTTTTTTTTTTTTTTTTAACTATGAGCATATTTAGTATCTAAATTCCATTTGTATTTGCGAGTCGTGTAATATAGCTTATTGTTCCACATGCACTAACAGCTGTCCAAGAAAAAATATTTTCTATAATTCTTTAATATTAATGAGTCCAAAGCAATTACACAGTCAAGAGAAGCACACGCATCTCTGTTGGGTAAACAGTTGGCCAACATGCAGTAAACTGGAGTAGCAACATATGTAGTCCAGTTGGGTCTGGTCCAGGCTGTATGATACTTAATTGCATAAATAGATAATATAGCAGTGATGAATGTGTTAGTGGGGTGTGCAGTATATTGTGCTGTCTTTATTTAAAATTGTTTGACTGCCAAAGCATCATGTAACCTGTTGTAATTTCATGTTTTTGTTTGGACAGGCAAGCAATAAGTTGCTAAAGAAGCCAAAGCAGGGCAGCTGACACCCTGTGTGCATTTTCATACAGTTTTCCATAATAGAAGTCTAAGTTCTGTTTTTAAATAAAATATTAAAAATTGATAGGACATGAGGTTCTGACAGTCTTCAGTCGTTTCAGTCTTTCCTGAATTTGCTTCTGTGGTTGTGTGGTCAGTTGTTGGGAGTATATGCAACTGACTTATTCTTAGGGGGTTGTAAAAGAAGAGATTGTGACCTTGGGTCGTGTTCTTTACCTGCTGTTGCGGGTTGTTGCTAAGCTATTTTTTTTTTGTTGTAATCTTACGTTGGATTCCCAAGATTTAGTTTAGTCTCTTCTCTGTTCCTTGTGGAGGTGAACACTAGAAATGCAGGTTACCCCTCTGGTAATGCAACCGTTTCTCAAAATGGTTAGTGGCTGAGACCAGTGCAAGTGTTGGTTAAAGATTTTTCTTTTAAGATTTAGAAAATGTATTTTAGGGTCTCTGAGGTCCTTTCCCCTCTTCTTTGAGTCCTTAACATCTACCAGTCCCTGGCTTCTGGCCTTATTGTGTAGTCTTTTCCTATTTGGAGGCTGTATAAACATGAGCCATTAGAAATGGATAGATTCCTTAGGCTGCCCTCCGTGGAGCCCAGACAGACACCTGGCCTAGCATGAGTGTTACTGTGAAAATACAGTGCTGCTATGATGAGTCTTGAGAAGAGACGAGCTGTGTGGGGCTAGTGAAACTGAGGGAGAAAGAGGACTTTGTACTCTCTATTTCTTTACAATAGAAATTGTCAGGAATAACCAGTGTTGCACTGAGCTGTGTGTGGGAATGTGCAATTTAGGATTGATAATACCCTTTGATAATTGTACACGCAGGAAAATTCATGGTTTTTCCTTGTCCGTGTGCAGTGTGCACGTCTCTTATAGTAGTAATACGCAGTGATCCTTTTCAGGCTTGCTGCCTTGAAGTACAACATGCACTCTCAAAGAGCGTACATGCCTCGAGCAAGGGTCACGACATGTCTGGGGCAGAATGAGGGAGACTTTCTGTTCATGTCGGCATTCGTGCTTACTCGGTAGGACTTGAAGTTTGCATATTATGAGAAGCTCTTATTAAGCTTTATATATTCAAGACTTGCTACTGCCTGTTTATGGTAATAAATTACAAGATCCTGTGAATTCGATGGAAAGAATAGTTTGTTCATGTTGTTTTGTCCTTTCATATTAGACAGACAAGCGCAGTAAGTGCTAAGCTAGGTAAGACTAATTTATGCAGATCTTGGATGAGAACAGCAAATTGAAACACAATCAAAGTAACACGGATTAGATTTCGTAGCCAAGCTACGAGTGAAGCGCCTGCTCCCAGAAGCGCGCTGGGTGTGCTGGACGACAACAGCTCCTCTACCAAAAGGAAAAGAGGGCTGGCATTTTCTCCACCTCCTCTCCATCATGTCTCTTTCCCAATTCGTACCATCCCTGTTTCACTGTGAGCTCTTCGGCTTGCCTCTCTCACCTTGTGAGACTAATCTACTCTGCGTTTGTGTCTGCTGCTGTGCATCAGGGTAGCTGATGGAGGAAGAGGGGAACTGAGTTAGGGCTGTTTCCGCAGCGAGTGCACTGTTTTTCAGAGACTACGTTGCAGCAAAGATAAGAAATATCTGAAACAAAAAACAGTATTTTTTGGCATTTATTGACTTTCTTAATTCCTTTATCAACACTAAGCTCTGCACAACTGGTTAAGTGTTCCACAGGCTGTTTCCTCTCCTTGGTGTGATTATATAGCATTTCAGGACTTGAAAATATTGTATGGGCTTTTTACCAGCGACCCTTCACAGCATGCCTGCGAGGCAGGCAGGTAAACCCTTCTGTCTCCATTTGTATAGAAACAGGAGTGAAGTGGTTAGTGCTGAGCTTCATATTAAATCACTGACATGGGCATTAGCTCTTGGGTTCTACTTAAAGGCAGGATGCTAGGCTTGATGCTTGCATGGCTGGGCTTGCGTGACGGACTTTGTTCCTAATCCGTTCACCTGAACCTGGCCTGCTCGCATCTGTACATTCCTCCTACTACAGTGTCTCATTCCTCTTTGTTCTGGGCTCTGTCCAACCTGTTTCCTTCTCCCAGGAAGAAGATCCTAGCAACAAGAAACCACTGAGCAGAGCTTTCAGCACCTTAAGCAACTTGCCCTTGTTGCTTACGTGCTGTTGTGAATTGGACCATTGCCATGGACATATTGTCTCTCTGATTTTATTATAATCGGTGCATTATTATTTTTCTCTTTTGTTAACCAACAGAATTAAAGTCTGGGGACCTAGAACTCTTTTTCTTCCTCCTTCCCTGTTTAGCAAACTGTGCACATCAGTAACCACCCACAAAAGAAGCAGCGTGTAAATAAAAAGCCAGTGCTCTCCGCCCTTCACTTCGTTCCACATCCTTTTCTCAGTGTTCAGAGAGCCATGACTCAGACTGGGTTTAGAGAAGACAACTTGCTAATCCCCTCCCTGCTACAGAGAATAAAATGGCATTTCATTCCAAGCTCTATTAATGCGCTCGCTCCGGGGATAAAGCAGCACTCCCAAAAGGCAGTGGCCAAATTTTTTTCCGTTGCGTTGTCTTTGTCTTCTTTTGAGTGTTACATTTAGATTAGCTTCTGAGGATTAAATGTTATTACAGTCCCTGAATCTGTTAAGGGGAAGGGGAAAAAAACCATCAGTAAAGAGGTTATGGCTTAGTGCAGGCACTCTTGATTTATCCTCAAAATGCTGTTTTTTTTAATTTGATTTATTTTCTTTTGTGAAGGTGCTCTTATCTTATTTTTATTTTATTTTTGTAGCTGTTAAATTTGGATGCGAGAATTGGCATGGATGGGAGTGGGCATCCAACTCTCTCTTTAAAAGGTAAAGCTAGGAGTGGGGTGAGGGGATTAGGAAGCCGTTAAAAGATAAAATTGTTCTGAAGCTGAATTTCCCTCTGAGATCTCCTTAAAGTTTACTGAACCCTCTTTGAAGCTGCTTACCGAAGGCTGTGTTGCTTTGCATGTTGTGCCAGGAGCACTGCGTGTGCTTTGTGCTGTTATCAAGGAGGGCATAAAGAATGTCTCTATCTTATCCTGATAGAGATCAGCCCTGAATCTGCGGCAGCTTTCCAATGGAGAAACTGCCAAAGAGATTTACTTCATATGGGACTTAATATCTAAGCGTTCCATTTAACGGTCCTAAGATCTATAAACTTAATGGGCATCAGTATTTAAGGTGATTATGTTAGAGAAACTGGCAAGCAGTAAGTATCCTCCTGGGCTGAAGGTGGAACAGAGAACCAAACTGCCCCAGTGTGGGCAGGGCGCTGGAGAGTTCGTAGAAGGGCTGTCTGTGGGCGATAGGGCGTTTGTGGCTCACTTTCAATGCTCGTGGAGATGAAGATCTTATGAAATTGCACGACGTTTTATGGTGTTGATGGGCAACACCATCAACGGTATCCAGAGCGTAGATATCGTACTTTTTCTTGCTTGATTGTGTAGACCTGGAAAGTTTATAAGATAGTTATGTGGTGATACTTGAGTTTATTAATCTTGAAATCTATTGCAAGGCCCCAGCTATTTCGATTCCGAGCTCTGAAATAGATGTTATGTGGACAGTGGGGAAGCCCGAGGAGAAGAAGGGTAGAGACATAGTTTTCAAATAAAATTGCTTTGGGAGTTCTCCTATTATTAGATTAGAGAGATGATTAATTCAGTGTTGAAATTAAGAGCCTCTGCTGCTGTAGAGATTTGAGAGTTTTCGGGCATAAAAGACTGACTACTGCTTTGAGCTCATCTGCAGCCTTATCTCAGCATAGCGCTTTTGTACCCTGCAATGATGATACCTTCACAAGAGAAGGGTTTGGCTCCATCCCAGTCCTTTCTTTCCCTCAGCGCTTGGTTTGTGTTAGTTTGCAGTGAGTCTGCTCCATGTAATCTTCAAATAGAGGGATTAATTATTAGACAAAGCTTTGCTGTTCCTTATGGTTATAAAGTTGGTCTGTAGTAGGAAATTGCTGAAACAGGC